GTCATAGTAATAGTAATAATAATAGTCATAATAATAATAAATAACAATAACAGTAATAACAACAATTTTAATTCACCTAATCCATACAGTCAAAAGGAATGATAAAAAGTTGTGCTAGCTTGCAAAAGACAAAGAATGAAATGTTAAAAATGTTTAGAAATCAAGATTCAAGTACCCTGTTCAGGAAACATCGGCGAAGGCGAGTTGGACGAAGTTGGAGCTTGGCTACATGGCATATACGGAACTGGTGGAACTCCATTCACAACCATAGCATGTTGTTGGATCGACCAACTCCCTTTCGCTCCCATTGGAGCATCGCTGCAAAAAAGCGAAAAAAAATACAAAAATTTTTTAAAGCATAGACAATTGAAGACAAAAACGAGCAAATTGAAAGAATTTTAAAACAGGAATTCATACAGTTCTGAAAAACATATTGTCTTCAAGTTCAAAAAGCCCACAAATTTAAATACTACAGCCTAAAAAGTGAAATTTTTCCTTCAAAGATGGTGACTCTCGTTATTTAAAACAAAAATGAAACAAAAAAGTTGAGCCAGTTCGCTGAATGTCAAAAAGTGGAAAAAAAAGACACAAAAGCAAGAAAAAAAGATCACCATAAATTGAATTTAAAAAATTCGACTATACCAAAATGAGTAAGCAGAAAATCATATTTCTGGTAATTGTTTCAAAACCCCTCTTTTCCCTAATGTTACTCATAACTTACTACCACTCCCTTCTCTCTTGCCTTTATCTCGATTATGATAGTCGACCAATAATCAACATTAAAGTTCCCGTTTCTACGCAAATGGCTAAAATTTGGTTGCAGCCGATGTGATTGTAAAATAGAAGCAATTCAACAAAACTACAAATAAAGCTCTACAAACAGAGAATGGAGAAAAAGATAGAAGCCAGGATTCCAGTAGACAGTATACCTTTCAATATCAAATATCATAAAGGTAGAAAAGTTTTTTTTAGAAGTTTTTTCTCCTTTTATCCTTAAAATTCCTTCCAAATAACCAATTAAAAAATAAAGATACTCTTACTTAAAATTCATTCTAACTTTCTGACAGACCTGAAAGATGAGGAAAAAGGAAAGCTAGAAGGGCAAGAGAGGTAAAAAGTAGACGAGAGGAGAATTAACAGCAATAAAAAAAATGCTTTCTAGTTTGAAAACCGTTCAATGTAGGACAGCAATAATAAAATAGAAAGTAAAGCGGTCTATTATTATAAGACCAACAAACGTGATTTACTCATCAGGAGATGACAGGTTACTTCTACCAAACTTAGTTAATCAAATAGTTGTCTGTCCAAATAACCAATACGCCTGGCAATTCATGCGAGTTAAAAAAACTTCCCGTGGTCAAACTAAACTGGCTTTATGTTACATTCCAGCAATGGATGTGGTTGGTGCAGAGGAAGAATAGATAAAAGGTGAGTTTCTTTGCTTCTTTTTGAAAAAATTATATATATGTATAACATATTTATATCAGAATTTAAAAAAAAAAGCTGCATACATGTTTTTTAATGATATTTCAGTGGTATTAAACAAAAGCAAAAAAAAAAGGAAAAAAAAACAAGAAAACGCTTTGTCCTTCTAATAGAATTAACGTTTAACGAGTCCTAAACGATTGAGATCAGAAGAAAACCCTTGTAACAATGGGCATTGTTAATGTAAAAATCTTCAAATTCCAAATGACAACTATAAAAAACCAAAAACAACAGTCTGAAGTGTTGTTTATAATGATGGTGCACATAAATCAAGAAACTGCT